TTTACTGAACGTTATATAACAAGAAACTCAATTTTTTTTTAATGTAAAACTGTTCTTCTCCCTTAAAGAATTTAATAAGTCCAATCTGCCTTTAGGAAATTAATTTCGTATTCCAGTAAGATAAAAAGGATATTTAATTTTAAAATTTCAAAGCATATATTGGTGTGGGTGTATAATATTATAATAATATATATGGACGCACACAAACATATGAATTTTAAAAGTAAAAGTATGATAAAAAAGAAAAGAAAAAACAACCTGAAATTTATTAAAAATGGATTTTATGTTAAAGCAGAAAACATGAGCATAATTTCCTAATAAGTAATTTCGGAAATCTTATTCCTGTTCATACATAGTATTGATTTGAATAATAGAGAAGGAAGAGGAAGAACAGGAGGGAGAAGGAGAAGGAGGAGGAGGAGGAGGAGGAGGAGGAGGAGGAGGAGGAGGAGAAGGAGAAGGAGAAGGAGAAGAAGGAAAACAAGTACCATGGAAGTACGCAATTGTTCTAAACAAAAGACAGTAGAATAATTGTAGCCATGATCTCCAATTTTCTTATTATCAGAGAAGGCAGTAGAAGACACAAAAGCTGGCTATTTCAGCCAGCAATAGCCAGCGCTGAAAAAAGAAAGCACATTCAAAAGCTGTCCCAACTTGCTGCTTAATGAGGAGCAATTAATCCATCTTATTGTATTTCAAAATGCAGAGGACTCCATTCACATCAAAGAGAATTTTTCAAGGCTTTTATTATTATTTTTTTCAATAAAGAGAAGCTACATAGAGCTATCTTTAGAAACCTGACAACAGTATTTTCTTTTTACATGCAAACAGTATGGAATGCCCACTAATGGATATAAAATCATTGCATACATGTGAACTGTAGGCATGTTGTTTTTTTTACTTCGTTTAATGAGTTCCTAATGGATACTGAAAACGAAGCAAAAATATTAATTAAATGTTACTGTAGACCAGTGCAAAATGAGGAGCTGCAGCATTTCCTAGGTGGATGAAAAGGAGCAATCCACATTTCCGAATCGATCATTGAAGATTTTATCAACTGAGTTCAAAAAGCTTTAGCCTATATTGGGCATATTTGTATAGTATAGTTAAAAATCCTGGATCTGGATAATTGTTTTCTACAATAATGAAAAAAGTGCAAAGAACAGTGGCATGCTCCTAATACTCAGCAATACTTACTCACGCCCTTTCAGTGCACTCCTTCTAGTACCTATTCACTACATAGCTTTTGGATGACTAACCAGTCACATATAAAGAGAGCTGCTATATAAACTGCAGGCTATAGAATGTTCAGTTCATCTACTCAATGTGTGAAAGTCAGAGGTGGGCCTGTATTTTTAATCCCACTATCAACCCCTAAACATTGACAGTTGAACTCTTATGAAATACTCATAATTCAGAAACACAGATTTTGCTTTCTAATGACTGAATGTAGTTATCAATACTACGATGCAGAGATGCTACGGCTGTCCTCCCTCCTCTTTTAATGCTTAAAAGTTGTTGTTTTTATTCTCATTAATGTCTTTAAATTTTTCAATGTCTTTTAAAAATTGCTGCTGCAAATTTGCTGCTGCAAAAAATACGTTGTCTTCCTTCACCAGATATTTCAGCCTGATGAAACTATGAGCACTGAAGAAATCTTCCTCCAGGTAACCTGAAAGCACACCTGGGAAAATAACACCTTGCTTTGCAGCATCTGGAACAGGGAATGATCCGCAAGGGCAAAGGATATTTCCACCACAGTGAACTAGCTGGGTGTACTCCTTTGAGTTGCTTAACTTTGCATGGAATTGCAGCAAGGGGACCATAGTTTCTCTGCACTTTTGAAGAGAGGCATCAGAGCATCTCACTTAAGGTTTCCTCAGCTATATGAGCAGGCAACAGTTGCTCAGTAATGCAGCATTCAGGTGTGCTTAAGTGTATTATATTTAGCAATACTAAATATAAATATAAACTATTTACATTCAATGGAAGTTGTTCATGGAACACTAGTATTGTGAAGAACATTAAGAAACACTGCAACACAAGTTATGTTATGCAAAATGTTCCAAATTGCAGTAGTTGATCTGTGATTATTTACAGTCTTCAGATTAGATAGATGGCTTTTTCAGAAACCATCCCTCAGTAAATCACGTTCAATAGATGGACAGAACTGCAAGTAGCATTGCACTCATTAGAATCTGCTACAGAGCAGAGTATACATTTATCTTAAAATTTGCATGCTACATATAAAAGATTATCTCCTATTGCCCATTTTATCCTCTGTCCAAATCCTCCTTCATGTTTAGAAAGTTACGGTGAAAGAAAGTCTTTCATATGATGTTAATAATTCAAAAAAAAAAATCCATTCCTCTCCTCTTTTAATTTAGTGGACATAGTCGCAAGTGAAGAATATAAAAGGACCATTATTTCTTAGAGAACTCAGGTTATGCTAAAATAATATATTTTTATATTCTCCCTGAAGCACACAGAAAATAGGTTGCCTACTATCTTGCACTTAAACTATTTTTTTTTTTTAGCAAATAACAACTCTTAAAAAAGGCTTATCATAACTTTGTGGCCATTTTTTTCTATCCATCTATCTTTTTAGCCTCTCCACACATATATTCTGATTTAACAGAATCATAATCTTATATTTATTTTGATGCAGGATCCAGATTTTCTCTAAACAGTTTTACTCTAGAGAATTCAGGTAACCCTACATTTCCAATTTTGTAGTACCCATAGGCTTAATGTACAAACCCATATCCAGCCCTAACCTCACATAGATCCAATCTTGAAGGCTGGATCCCATCTGATTTAGTCCTCCAAGTTTTCCTTAATAAGAGGAACAATTTTTCTTTCATTTACCTCACATAAAAATGAATTTTGCACAGATGGAGATACTCCCCGCATCACTCAAAGCTCATTTTACTGTGGCAGTCTGTCTCTTTGCACTGATGCATATCCTAAAATTGTGACAATGGCAAAAATTCTAAAAATGCAGCAAAGGATTCTTTAAAATATTCTTTAGACCGAGGGCATTCAGGACAAAGGATTCCTAAACTTTAAACAGTAGAGAGGCAACAAATAAGTACCTGCTGGGAAAGAGGACTTGTAAGCATAATTGGTATTTTTTCTGCAAAAAAAGGCATCTTCGCCACTACCATCACCATCACCATCGTTAACAAAAGGAAGTGCATAAGTAAGAAATAGGCACATTTTCTAAAAGGAAACTTTACTATTTTAGGTGTGGGTAAAAAACAACAACACATTTTATGGTTTCTTCATAAAACAGAACCATGACAATGTAAATGCAAAAGTTTAAGAATAGGCCATTTGCTAGGTATAACACGAACAAATTACTGAATTTATTGTCCACAAAGGAGGCTGCAGGTGCCCAGTATTAATTTAGGTGTGTGCTTAAAGTCAGTACACTCTTTTAATCGTCCAAACATGAGCTAAAACACCTTCTTTTAGTCATTAGATTGGATAGTTTTAGTCTGAAACGCTACAGCCTTCTCTATCTTTGCACCCCGGGTTAACAAGCAACATGTTTAACTTGACTTAGTTGTTCACCAAACCCAACTATCAGCCAGTTCAGCTCAAAAGCCAGCCAACAACAGCCACACAAGCCTGCCAGCATGCTGCCCGCAGCAGAGTCAAACCAGAAGCTCCTGACAGAACACTTATAAAGTGAGTCTGTGGTTGACCTTTTCCTGTTCCAGGACTGGGGCAAATCCCACTGATGGTATTTAATATTTCAGACAATGAAGCCTTGCCCAATCTGGTGCCTTCCAAAGTTTTTGGAGTACAATTCTCATAATTCCTGTCCCAATCAGGATTATATCATTTGTAGTGTATCATACTTGGAGCACATCAGATTTGAGAAGATTGGTACACAGTATTCACATGCTGAAATGTGTTTCTTTTGGTTGAATTGTTAAGGTATTTTGACTTTTTTTTTAAAAAAAAGGAATGATCACAAAAAAGATAGAAACAAAAGGGAAAAAAACCCTCCACTTAACCTGTCATTCCCCCCCCCCCCCAATACCTTTCCTATTAAAAAATATTCAGGAGCTTGCAATGCAAAATTTGCATTTCTTACATGTACAAAATGAAGCCTTGCTTGCTATGTTTGTTTGTTCTTGGAAATTAGAAAGAGGAAAAAAATGACCATCCCACTTTCTTAATTTCAAGTGAAGCGAGGCACAGCTTCTCCAGAATATACTCTTTAAGAAACTACCAAACTGAAATTGTGCAGCCCAATCTTCGTTCTGTGTACACAAAAGCCAGTCTTACTGTGCTCTGTGGACCTTAAGTGTGTAAGAGGAGAATGCAGGATTTCCTCTGCAAAGCCCACGTTTATCAGATCTGAGCAAAAGATTTCCACATCTTCAGGGAGTGCAGATTAAGCACACGGCTAACTTTTCTAGAGAAGAAACCAATCAGGTGGTTTCATTTGGCCAATATAAAAAGTGTGGAGGCTAGAACGATTTGCCAAAGGTAAACTCTGGACATTGCAGATAAGGATAACATCCCTGGAGGAAAAGTGTGAATTTAGCACTCATCTGAAAATGTATCTTTAAAAACAATACAGAAGAACTGCTACACTGATTTAAATCTCAGCTTTTACGATATGTGCTTGATCTTCTTTTATTTAACCAGTGTTTTGTCCCCCCCCCTCCATCTTACAAACTCTTATCTACTAATGAGATTTTAAAAGCAAAAAAACAAAAACAAAAAACAAGGACATATTTCCCTATTAAAGTTGGCATGCAAACAGTGAATAGCATTCCAAGGTGTTAAAATAGTTTAATATAGATGCTACTGCAGAAATCAGAGGGAGGGAAGGAGATTAAACACAAAGAAATGTCAACAGCTACCACATGCAAGGAAACTAGGTTACAAGAATCACAGCCCCAGGCATTCCTCCAATCACCAGGGAACACAGGAAGTAAAACGCATAGCAACCACAAGCCCCAAAGCAGAAAAGCGCATACCTTTAGCTTGGAATGAAAATCACGAGATTTCCTTCTGGCAAGAACCTGAATGTGACTAGACACCTGCAGGGTAGGGGAAGGGAGGGAAAACAAAGGAAAAGCCTGTAACCATGGAGATGAAAAGCCCCCTACAACTGGGCAAGCCAAACGTACCTTAATGGCAGCTTGAATTTCTCGAACTTTCTTCCTGGCTAAGACCTGTATGTGACTAGACACCTACATTGTTTGGAATTTTAAGGGGGAAAAAAAGGGGAGAACAAAGGGGAACGGGAGAGAAGAGAAATAAAAAAAAAAAGAACACGAGAAATCAAATTTGTGTCTGGAAAAAAGAAAAGAAAGAAAGAAAGAAAGAAAAAACCCAGAAAGTTTCTTTGGGGAAAGTATTTTGCATTGTCAGTAAATTTTGCTATTAAGAGATCATATTTCCCAGCCATGCACCATATTTCGTAGCACAAACATTTACCAGTGCTGGTCATCGCTGCAGTGATTTAAAGGAAGAAAAAGTTTTAGACTATTACATCTTGAGCTCTTTCCTTTAAATTGTTCTGACTACAGTCTGTGTAACTGTAATCTGATGATATTCAAATTTGCAGATGCTCTTCAAAAGTAAACAAATTAAAATTTAATTATATGGAAATACTAGATATATACACACACACACACACACACAAGCACAATAGTAAGCAAGCTTTATATCTTGTCCCAAAATAAATAGCTTAAAGCACTTAAATGGCCCAACAGCACTTCAATTAAACATTTTTATAAACACATACTTATGTACTGTATATTCTTATTGTAGTTGTTGCTATGACACTTTTTGTTTTAACTTACATATATATTGCCAGCATGGTAATCATTCTAGCCAACTTGTATCTAACCTAATTTCATGACATTATTTCACATTACATTAAAGAAAAAAGTTTGAGTTTGGGGGAGAATGCTATTCCCCCCCCCCACAAAAAAAAAAAGCTGAGACAGACACTGTCATAATGGGAAATTAAAAATAATCAATATACTGCAAGGCTGGTTATACTATGAATCATTTTTTTTAATCCAAGGATTAAATGCAGATATATGAGGATTATTTAAATTCCTTCACTGCAGTTTTCCTGGTTTGATCTACACTATGATATTATGAAGGGCACTATAATGTTACTAGCTACAAAGTAGAAAAGTAAGTAAGATTATATTCAGAATGCAAATATTTATTAATAAAAGTATGCAGTAAGAATTAAACTCCCATTAAGTCCTGTAAGGACAGAAAAATTACCCAATTGTCTCATTTCTTCTTTATCTCTCTTTAAAGCAGCTGTCTCACAAATCTACCTGGCTGTCTCCAGGGCACATATTACATTATGCAAATATTAAGACCTGATCATTTATAATTGTTGACAATTATTATTATGTCTGACACATCATCAAAATTACTAAATTTTACATTCACTCTGCACCTATAGGTTACAAATAAGATCATTGGTTTGATGTTCAGATTTTCTGCATTTCTTGTTTTCCATTAAGTATGTGTCAACTATTATTATGTTGGGTTTTGTCATTACTACAATCGAAAGTGTAGTGTCAAAAATGACCCTATGGTGAGAACTGAAGTAAAATTTAAGAATTATTAAATTACCTGAGTGGCAATAAATATATGACTGAGGTTTTAATTTTTTTATCTACACTTTATTTGTATTTGATTTATAATAATAATAATAAAGTTGGAAGGGACCTTGGAGGTCATCTAGTCCAACCTCCTGCTCAGGCAGGAAACTCTATACCATTTCAGACAAATGGCTGTCCAGTCTCTTCTTAAAAACTTCCAGTGTTGGAGCATTCACCGCTTCTGGAGGCAGGTTGTTCCACTGGTTAAATGTTCTAACTGTTAGGAAGTTTCTCCTTAGTTCTAGGTTGCTTCTCTCCTTGATTAGTTTCCATCCGTTGCTTCTTGTCCTGCCTTCAGGCGCTTTGGAGAATAGCTTGACTCTCTTTTTTGTGGCAGTCCCTGAGATATTGGAACACTGCTATCGTAACCCCCCTCGTCCTTCTCTTCATTAAACTAGACATACCCAATTCCAGCAATCATTCCTTACATGTTTTAACCTCCAGTCCCCTAATCATCTTTGTTGCTCTTCTCTGTACTCTTTCTAGAGTCTCAATATCTTTTTTACATCATGATGATCAAAACTGGATGCAGTATTACAAGTGTGGCCTTACCAAGGCATTGTAAAGTGGTATTAATACTTCACGTGATCTTGATTCTATCCCTCTGTTAATGCAGCCTAACACTGTGTTGGTTTTTTTGGCGGCTGCAGCATACTGCTGGCTCATATCTAAGTGATAGATCCACTAGGACTCTGAGATCCCTCTCACAGTTGCTACTAATGAGCAAGGTACCACCTATACTATACCTGTACATTTGGTTTTTCTTGCCTAAATGTAGAACCTTACTTTTTTCATCATTGAATTTCATTTTGTTAGATAGCACCCAGTGTTCAAGTCTGTCCAGATCCTCCTGTATCTTAAGCCTATCTTCTGGAGTGTTGGCTATTCCTGCCAGCTTGGTGTCATCTGCTAATTTGATGAGTTCCCCATCTATCCCCTCATCCAAATTGTTGATGAAGATGTTGAAGAGCACTAGGCCCAGAACAGAGCCTGGGGCACCTCACTACACACTTCCCTCCATGTAGATGCAGTTCCATTGAGGACCACATGCTGAGTACGGCCAGTCAGCCAGGTACGAATCCATCTGGTGGTGATGCTGTCTAACCCACATTTTTCTATACAAATTACTGAACATTAAATGTTCAAATTGGTTGCTATTTTTTTCTAAACAATTCCTTACTCTTTGACACATGGCTTTTAAACTTCCTAACTACAGAAACATTTTCTTTGGGGAAAAAAAAGTTAATAAAATATACTGTGACAGGCCTTTGACCTTTTTGATTTTTGATACACCTTATATTTGGAAAGAATTCTAAACTAGGTGGATCAATAACCCTGCTCAGCTTCAAAATTCTTCACTTCAAAACTGACCTTGACATCTGTGCCTTTACCTTGATTCAGAAACATCCTAATTCAGACATTAGAGAATCTAAAATCTTAGAATCAAAAGGAGCAATTTAGGTCATCAAGGCCAACCTCCTGCTCCATGCTGGTTCCCAAATTAAACCATCCATAATTTAAGACTTTCTAGCCTCCAACTGAGCTCATGTAGCAAGAGGATGTGGGGATATTAAGGGTTTTTACCCCTTAATATTGTTCTAACGTTAAGCTAGAATCGGCCTTTTTGTCATTTTAATCCATTACTGTATGACTTGATCTGAGATTTACACAGAGCATGTCTGAGTCTTCTGTGCAACATTCTTAGGTACTTGAAAAGTGTAATTATGCAACTACATACTTTCAAAGTACAATTTCAGGTGTAGGTAATCCACAGCTGGTTAATTTTATTTTCTTGCTAGTAGCACTCTAAAATTTAGGTACATTTGGAGAGAGAAAAAGAACTGCAACCTGTAACTAAGTTCACCAGTTGAGATTGGTAGTTCAAGTTAGAATTTGGAAATTCATTTCAAAGCTATTGAATCACATTAAGCTAGGAATCACATTAAGCCATCATTAGTTTTCCTATGTCTGGTTAGCTGGATGTTAGAACTGAACTCAATAAAACAAATGGATTCCCTCTTATAATCCTTCTGGGAAACATGTGTGGAAAAATACTGTAAATAAATAAAATATTTTTGCAATATTATTTTTGAATAGCCAAAAGAACTTAATGGGAATTAAAATGCTGCCATAAAGTAATTTTAGAAATTACAGTATATCTACTTTTAATTGCAATTTGGAGCTCAGCTTTAAGAGTGACTGTAATTTAATTTCTCTCTATGGAAAAAAAAATGCCAGAAAAAAATATTTAATGCAGATGACTATGAATCAGTGACATTAGGCCATTTCCCTGTTTCTCTTTTTTTGGCTGAACTGTCATTAGTTTTATGGTACCATAAACAATACATGTAAAGTATTCTGCAATTCAACCAAGACATACATTCAGGATTTCTGTATTTTTAATTTTCTCTGTAAATGTTCAATGCCATTTTGTTCCAAAGACAGAAGGCCTACAACACACACACAAACACACACACCTTTCATTGTCTTGAACGTGGAACAAAAAAAGGGGGGGCTCTTTCTTAAAACGAAAGTCTCAATTTATTTCTGGAGAAGACCCACATGGGAAGCAAATTTATCAGATGGCCATACATACTTCTGTTGCTCCCAGTGGGACTGGAAGGTAACATCTGAAATGAGAATTTAATTGTTGAGTCCTTAGTGCTCTGGGAGTTTGATTATTTGCTTGCAGAGTTTTCATTACCTAACTAGGTAACACCATTGGTTTGAGTTGCCTGTTTATATATAGTAGCTTACTCTGATAGTGTTACTAGAGGTAGAATTTCCTCCTTGGTGGTTCCTTGAATATTGTTTTCTGCCTAATTGTTGTCTGGTGCTGACCCCTGCTTATTTGCATGTTGGCTGCTGGAAGGGATGTGTTCTAGTTTTTTTGTTTCTTTTTTGTTTTTTGTTTTGGTATTTTTTAAAATTATCTCTTGAATGGTGTATAAATGTGATTTATTTGTATATCTATTGATGGCTGATTTGTCTGAATGCCAAAGTTCCAGGAATCCCTTAGCATTTTTTTAATTTAGATTGGTCTAGAATGCTAATAGTTTCCCAGTTGAAACTGTGATTGACTCTGTTCATGTGTTGTAAGATTAATGAGCTTTCATCATGTCTTCTGAAAGATAGTTGGTGTTCACGGATGCACTCTGCTAGTCTTCTACCTGTTTGTACTACATGGTCGCTGTTGTATATTGTAGATAATTCCTGTTTTCTTTTCTTGGACTACTTTTGGTTTGCTTAAGAGGTTTTGGAGGACTTTAATTGGTTTTTGTGTTATAGTAATATCATGTTCTTATAGCAGTCTGTTGGTTGTTTCTGAGATGTTTTTGATAAACAGTTAGGCAAAAAACAATACTCTAATCAACAAACTACCAAAAAGAAAACTATATCCACTGCCAAACTGGCAGGACAAGCAGTAGCATGTAAATAGGTAGCAAACCCCACACTCACTGACACAGACGGTATTATTAGCTGGAGTAATGAAGTATTTGCAAGCAATTGAACAATGAACATGAACAATTGTCCTGTAATGTTATCTACTGGGACTTTGCATGAATTTATTTGCATGAATTTATTTTATCATAAAAATATAAATATGTCTGATAATTATACAGGCTTGAAGTGATCACAGAGCAATATTCAAGAAAATAGATAATTTTAAAAAAAGAAAAGAAATTCCTACATCATAAGTCTCCTATTCAAACATTATATTTTGGACATTTAGTCATCATATGAGCAATGGGGATAAACTTTCACCAGCCTTTTTCCTTCCAAAGGCTGGAGATGTATAGCCAGAGAAGGCACTTATGCCACAGCAAGGTCATCTGCATCAAAAAGGTGTTTGTCTATAGAACTGTATGGGTATTTTCTTTCATAAGATCCAATTACCCAGACAGATGGTAGAATCCTCTTCACTGAATGAATTCAAGGAGAGTTTAGACAGCCATCTGTCCAGGATCCTCTAATTTGGATTCCTACACTGAACAGGAGGTTGGACTCAATAGCTTAAAAGCCCCATTCCAGCTCTGTGATTTGACGAGCTCAAATCCTGATCGCACAGATTTTGAATTCATCTGGAATCCAGGATCCATCCCCTTTTTTTTCTAGATGTCACTGGCAACATGGGTCATCCTTGTGGCACTCAAGTGAAGGAGATAAGTGCTCTATATGCAATGCCATAACAGGGCTATGATCAATTGGATATTCTTTGTCAGCCAGAGATAATTTTCTTTGTGACCATCTGGACTGCTCCCACCTGACTGATTTTTTTTTTTCAAAATAGTTAAAAACCTGATTGTTTCCACAAAAACAATTGGGTAAGGAGGATGGTTGAGCTTCTTTGGATTTTGGTATATTTTGATTATTTAATGATATGTGATTGGTCTTCTGGTCAGTTTTATTGTTTTTGTTCGATATATATATTCTTTTTTACAATAATTGTAAAACTACAAAATTTTAATTGTAAGCTTGTGGGGTCAAGCACAAATTAAATTAAAAGAACAAAAACTTCATTTATTTTTTTCTAATTTTAAATAGTATGTCAATTCTGTCACCAGTTTGCTCAGTTCTTCTTTCAAAATCTGTTTAAGCATATCTCTATTCCTGGAGAAAATGCTTAATATATCAGTAAGGTTCTTCAATAGATCTTAGAGGATCCTTTGTATAAATTTGAGTGGCTACTTGCTAATCATCGGATAAACTTCCTTGTTTTCTTGTTTTGTCCTTAGACAACATTTTGTAGCTCTTTCTATTTGAAATGTTTCAGACAAAAAATTTGGCCTATTCAACTTAAAGCCTTACATTGAGCAGATTATTGTCCCAAAGAAAACAAGCATTTTACTAGTTATTCATATAGTTTTGCTAATTTTGAACCATTCTCTTTCTTTTTCTCTTAAATATCACGTGAACTCTGATTCCAATTAATAAATATATCTTACTTTTTAAATCTGATTCTGTGCCTTGAAGTTTCTCAATACTACCATCACTGGATCCATTTGCTTGAAGCCCAAATATTTATGTAGGTCTTCAACAAGTTCTAGCTAATGCATTGTGTCAAAAGGAAGAACTAAGTTATGTGGTTCTGTAAAAAGTTTTTACAAGTGCTAATTCTTTTGAGATGAGAACAATAAGGTGGGAACAAGCCAGAAGTCTAAGAAAACACAGATCCATCATGCCAACTCAGTATTTATTGTGAAACTAATAGATTAACAGTTCCAGACTGTTTTACAGATCTATAGGAGTTTTAATCCTGCAAGTGTACTGTGTGCCTAAGTAATTTATATGGAAGTGGTGAATGGTACAAACAGCACTATTTTTCAAAGCAAACCCAAGATTTTGTAAACACCATTCTGCGTCTGCTGCATTCACTCATTCATTGGCACACATCTTCTATCCTGCAGGATTGTCTTACCTGTTTCCTGGTCCGTGTCTTTCCCGTCCTAAGTTTGATGTATCTGGCTATCAGTTCATTCCTACCTGAAATGAATATGAATTTACAATGAAGACTAAAAGTAACAATTCATCATTAATATATTTCACATCAAAACATAACTTAAAATAGATGCAATGAAAAGATGGTTCAAGGATATTTTTGAAAATAACGGTTTGAGTAAACATTTTTTTTTCATAATGGCATTTCCCCATCTTTTAAACTCCTTTGTTATTAGTCGATGGGAGAATCCAATAAGCAAATACCTAGGTATCATTGGATTTTTACCCTTGTTTTTGTCCAAAAATTGTACTTCAGCTAAAATAGTTCTGGCATATGGGAAATTATTTTAATTTTAAATTATTACACAGATAGCTTTTGTTTAATGACCACTCGTTCAGCAACCATTTAAACTTATAATAGGACTGAATGAGTGATAGTTATGACTGGTCCTCAGAGTTCCGACTGTTGCACTGCCCCTGTGGTCCTGTGATTATAATCCAAGCCCTTGGTGCCCAGTTCATGATTATAGTATTGAGCGAGTAGCAGTTGCATGATCACACATTTTGTACATTCCCTTCTAGTTTCCCACAAACAAAGTCAACAGGGAAGTCGCAATCACATGAGGTCCTCACTTAACAACTCACGTGGTCCTTGTTTAACTATGGCAACTGGGCTTACCAGAACTGCCATTGCTAAGAGGCATGGTCACATGACATCATGGTTTAAGGCCGCATCACTTAGCAATAGCAACTCTGGTCCCAATTGCCATTAGAAACCGAGGACTACCTATATTAAAAAGAGAGAACAATTGCAGATAAAAAGCTGGAAAAAATTCAGACAAAAGCTGTTACAGAGTGAACAAAATTCTGTCACTAAGCATAATCTGATTATTGAAAGTACAATATATATACAATATATAACACTTTATTTATTTTCATGCCTTTGAGTCAGCGTTGACTCCTGGCAACTGCCTGACCACTCTCTTCCAAGTTTTTTTTTTTAACAAGATTTCAGAAGTGGTTTGTCAGTGCCTCCTTCCTAGGGCTGAGAGAGTGACTGGCCCAAGGTCACCCAGCTGCCTTTGGGTCCAATATGGGACTAAAATTTGGGGTCTCCTGGTTTCTAGCAAACTGGCTCTCTACATTTAAATTTAGCTTACAATTAATATTAAATCACATTTTTGGCTTGGCTCTGACCACGTGTTCTAGGATGTCCCTCAGCACTAAAAGAGGTTATATAGCCTGCTAACAAAGGGCTAGATACTACGTTTATGCTGGCATGTGGTTCTCAGTAAGAGAATTCCGAAAAAATTTGACTCCAATCAAGATTAGCAGGAAAGGTTACTGCAAGACTTACATTTTACTGCAGATTCAATTATCCACAGTAAATCAAGTTAACGAGGAGACAAACAGCAAACTTTCAGGCCATATCATTGGTTTAACTTCACTTCTTTGTCTTTCCATCAGAAGGATGTTTTATTATATACAGGAAGTACTTGACTTACAACATTCATTCAGCAACCATTTGAAGTTACAGCAACAATAAAAAGTGACTTACAACCAGTATTCACACTTACAATTGTTGCAGCAACACCACAGTCATGTATCAAAATTCAGGCACTTGGCAACTGGCATGTATTTACAATGGTTGCTGCACCCCAGGGTCATGTGACCGCCATTTGCCACCATTCCAGCCAGCTTCCAACAAGCAAAGTTAATGGGGGAAAACTGGATTCACTTAATGACCTCAGTCATTCACTTAACAACCCTGGCAGAAAAAGTCATAAAGTTGGAAGCAACTCACTTAACAACTGCCTTGCTTAGTAACAGAAATTCTGGTCCCGATCATGATCATAAGTTGAGCACTACCTGTAGAGGCCCATCTCCCAGCTCTTCCCAATCGAGTGTTTCTTAAATTTCTTCCCCTCAGGACTCCTTCCTTCTTCTAAAATTTATTTTCATATATTCCAGCATCACAGAAGATTCCAATTCACGTTTTGGGGCATATATTTTGGGCATCTTATTCATATTTAGGGTTTTTCTTTTCACAGTTGCTTTCTGTTCATGAAGTTGAAATTTTATAATATTATTTTCAATTAAATCTAGCTATTGCTACTGCCGTTCCAAGTGAACTTTTATCTCTCACAATTTTAATTTTTAAATAGTACGGATTTTATCAGAATTCTTTTAAAGTGCTTTGGGAGCATGGCAGAGCAACATAATTTTATCTCTGAATCCTAACTCTAGTTGTTTGAAGATTTTTAGTGTGCATCCCAGTAGTGTTTGGACTGGTGGTGTTTAAGAGATGCTTCTCAGTGGCATCATTTGAAAAGTTATTTTAAGATAACCACTAAGATTAGAGTACAGCATTCAAAAATTTCAGCATCTCAGTCGAAGAGGACTGAACTGTGTAACATCAGAGAAGCAAAAAAAAATAATACTCCCCTTCAAGCATTTATGTGTGTATATTGAGTTGCCACGATGGGGGAGGACGACATTTTAAATCCAAATTAGCAAAAAAGAAATCACTGCAGACAGGTCAACAACGGTTCAAACAGTTTCCTCTGCTAGGTGAGAGACTTGTTATTTAAAAGCCGTGAGCAAAATCTATTTTACGCCTTCAAAAATAGTACAGCATGGGCAGGTGTTAAGCCTTCCCTACAGTGAGTTTTGAAAGTCGTCCCCTTTCTGAGCCTTACGGAAAAGCAGGGACTAAAAGCCGGCGAGATTGGGCAGCCCTTCCCAGCACAGGCTGTGTTTTGTTCAGACAAGCTTACGGCAGAAGGTCATGTGACATGGGCCAAATAAACAGCATCTGGGGATTTTCAATTACAGACCTTCACCCAGCATGCCTGCACTGTAATCTCTACCAGATGAGGCTCAGGCCTCACTATTTTCAATAATTCACACACTGTGTACACATAACATGACAATAAGGGCATTCATGCAACCGCCTGATTCGCACATCAAAGCTCCCAAATGGCCAGCTGTAAGCATGCTTACTGTTGAATAATTCATTCTTTTCACAGGCTTGAAAAAACGCTCAGCAGGACTTGGCAAGCTTGTCTTCTTTCCTGTGCGGTATGCTAAACTCACATTTTGAAAGAAGTACAACCCCATTCTTTTTTTAAAAAAAAAAAAAAAGAGGAAGAAGAAAAAGGAACTGGATATTCAAAAATGTCATGCACATTTGCAAATGGTTGTGTCTGAACCTATGACAACTCTATGTATGTATGTATGTATGTGTGTATATTATAAAGTACAATTTCAACTAACAACCATAGTAATAAGAGAAGGAAAGCAGATACAAAACAACACTGCTTTCTGAGGCAGGTGTTTAAAGAAAAGTTTTTTCCTGAAGGGTTTTCTCCTGTATAAATGAACGTGTACCAAAAATAAAATAAAAAATAAAATAAAAAAATAAAAACAAAACAAACACTGCATTTCCTGGAGCCAAACAATTTTCACGCTGGAGAAAATTAATTTTGATAGATCCATTTATTTTGTTCTATAGCTCTACCTTTAAATAAATACCTCCATTATCCAGGAAGGCAATCACCAAACCATTCCCTTGAAGCCAACCTTCAAAGGTCCAGATTGATCATTTCATTTTCCTCTTTTGCGCTTTATTAGAAGACTTTTATGGGCTTTTAGAGAAAAATTGCGCAGCTATAATTTTAATTGCCAGACAGCATCCTTAAACATGTTTACTGAATTATGACAACTGCTTCCCTGAGCTACCAAAGCAGGCAATCCTTTGCTTCATTATATCAAGTTTTCCTATCTGTCAATCAACCCTAAAACCAGCAGGATCAGCTAGTCACAACCTTCCCTCATAGCAAACACATGCTGCTTACCAGCTGTGGGCTGTGTATTTTTACACCCTTTTCCCTATAGTTCGGAGTGGTTTCCTCTTAATCACAATAATCCCAAAAGTGCTAAAACATATCAATTGTCTTCTAAGCCCTGCCTACAAAAGGCAAATGGGCTTGTCCAGCCACAGCTGATGCTTCATTCAACTGCAAATCGGATTTAGGAGCTACAAGAGATTTAGCATACCTGGAGAAATACCGAGGGGTCACTCTTGAACAGTTAAATCAACTATATCTTTTTGCCATACTGTTTGGTCTTTGGAGGAGGTGGGGTTGTATTTTAATTTTTGTTTGCATTCCTTAGTTGAACTGGGAGGAAACAGGTTTCTTTTACCACTACTGGTCCGATAGTCAAATATATGTTTAATATAACAGTTAGAACAGTGGAACAGTGGAACAACCTGCCTCCAGAAGTGGTGAATGCTCCAACACTGGAAGTTTTAAAAAGAGACTGGGCAGCCATTTGTCTGAAATGGTATAGGGTTTCCTGCCTGAACAGGGGGTTGGACTAGATGACCTCCAAAGTCCCTTCCAACTTCATTGTTGTTGTTGTTATTGTCAGGTTTTTCATTTTGGCAGCACTCATAAAAAAAGTAATGTTAAGTAACAACTATAGTGGTTTTTTTTAATATTATACCAGAATGTTTTCATTTACTGTCCACTTAAGTCATGAAAATTTAATTAGTTACTACGTGAAAGGTTATTTAATAGGATACCACGTAAGCTGATGCAAATTATATGTATTCTCACTGTCCTTTTTGAAAACCATATACTATTTGGAATAAAAACCGTATTAATAGAACAGTTTCTGAAACTAGGAGGGCCAGCCATCATAACCCTTGGCTTTTTCACTTTTTGTGCTCTACCCCTCAAGACAAAATTGCTTGACAACCATAAAAAAAGGAACTTATCACAGAACAGATTTAGAACTCACTTATTCCCAAATTCATGGTGTTTGGCCTCCTTGTTACCTTCTGGGAGGAGGCTCCGTGGTATCCTAAACAGAACATCCAGATTCAGTCACAGTTTTGTTCCATACAGTATTAACCTTGTGAACTCTCAAGCTTCCTCTTTCCGCTATGTATTCAAGATGGACAGTGATTAATATTTATATGTAAGAGTGTAGCTGTATAAGCATGCTGTATATAGCATGTTTATGTGTGTTGTGTATGT